CACTGAGCTTTGTGCTTAAGATCAGAGCACTTGTGTGTTACACCCCAATTAAAAAAAAAAGAATGGATGCTATAAACATGCATACACCTTAGCATCCCTAAAAAGCAACACATTTAGTAACTGTTTAAGAATGGATGCTATAAACATGCATACACCTTAGCATCTCTAAAAAAGCAACACATTTAGTAACTGTTTTCTCTATAGACGGTGGTGTTCGAAGGGACTAGCTAGCATCACCAGTGTGATGGCCACCAGTGAGTTCTGGATCAAGAGATTGGTCCATCCTCCGGGGCCTCCTTCCTATTGAGAAGACAAGGTCATCCGTTATTGCTTCAACCCACTCTCTTACCCTCTTCCTACACACCTGTGAACATCCTCGCCGTCCTTCCTTCCCTCCCCTCTCTCAGAACAGGAGGGGCTTTCCTCTTCCTATTGGCCCATCCTTCAGCCTGCATCCTTGAACCCACATGGTCCTGTCTCTGCAAGAGCTTGGTGCCATCCCTCCATTTCTTCTGCTTACATTTTCAAGCTGTTTATCTCAACTGAATTCTTCCTCTCAGCCTACAAACAGCTCAAGTCTCTCCTGTTCTAAAAAATTCCTCCTTTGACCCCACTCTAGCTACTGCCCAATATTTCCTCTTTCCTTCTATGTCCACAGTCTCCATTTATTCAGCTCCTAGCGCCTGAAACTCACAGCTTTGGCCATATTACTAAAATTCCACAGGCAAAGGTCACCAAAGAATTTCCAACGGTCACATCCAAAGAACACTTTTTAAGCTTTACTTTCCAGACTTCTCTGATTCCTTTCACTTTGAAAGTTCACTCCTTTTACTTTCACGGCACCATATGGTCAGGGTCTTCATGTTCACTCATCATTTCCTCTCTGTTTCACTCAGGGGTTCTGGTTCTTTAACACCCCCCCACCCCCCTTAAAATATGTTTTTTTATGTGTTTTAGAGAGAGAGAGGAAGGGAGAGAGAGAGAGAGGGAGAAACATTGTTGTGAGGTTGCCTCCTGTAGGCACCCCACCCAGGGATTGAACCTGCAACCTGGGTATGTGCCCTGATCAGGAATCGAACTGGTGACCTTTGGGGGCATGTGACAACTCTCAACCAGCTGAGCCACACCGGCCAGGGCTACACTCCTCTTTTAAGTGCTGCTTTTCTGGGTTCTGTCCTTGGTCTTCTTCTCTGCTCCACTTAGGCATTCTCCATGGATATCTCATGGTGTCAGTACTACCCATATGCAGATGACTCTCAAATTTCTGTTTCCCCTGAGGTTGGGGTTATGCAGTCAACTTCTGTCTGGACAGCTGAAGCTGGACATTCTCAGAGCACTTCAAGTTCAATGTATTCAAACTCAATCCACGATTCCACTCCCAAACCTGAAATTCTTTTTTTTTTAAAGGTACTTTGAGCTTTTAATTATTTTTTGTTAATCCTCACTCGAGGATCTTTTTCCATTGATCTTTTAGAGAGGATGGAAGAGAGAGGGAAAGACAGAAAGAAACATCCATGTAAGAGAAACACATCGTTTGGTTGCGTCCTTCATGCGCCCTGACCAGGGCCCAGGCCAGGGAGGAGCCTGCAACCACAGTATGTTCCCTTGACTGGAATTGAACCCAGGCCTTTGGTCCACAGGCCAATGCTCTATCCATTGAGCCAAACTGGCTAGGGTGAACCTGAAATTCTTTATCTCAACTGGTTGTATTTCCACCAGATCCTCCAAACTAGGAACCCATGTGAAAACTAGATCTCAGCATTGTTGATAATTTGAGCTGGGTCATTCTTTGTGAGGAGATTATACTGTCTATTGTAGGATGTTTAGCAGCATCCCTGGTTTCAATCCACTGGATGCCAACATTAACCTACGAGTTGAGACAACAAAAAATGTCTCCAGACATTGCCAAATATCCCCTGGGGGGGTGGGTGTCAAACTAACCTAGGGTTGAGGACCACTGGGTTAAAAGCATGGGTTTAGGAGCCACACATATCTGTGTAACTTTGGACTAGTTAGCTACCTCTTGGAGATTTAGTTGGTTTTCTCTTAAGATGGAGATAAGTCTCACCTCATAAGGTGAGCTTAAATAAGGTAACAAGGTAAAGTGCATGGCCTGTCCCATATGGGACATTTGTTGAGAGCAACAAAGACTCCTCTCTCGTCCTCACATCCAAACTCCTATGCCTCTCAGTTTTATCTCCTAAGCCTACCCACTCTTCTTCATTTGCTATACACTCAACCTTCATGTTCCCTGGAATTCGTACGTTGAAATCCTAACCCCCGATGTGATGGTATTAGGAGAGTGACTAGGTCATAAGAGCAAAGCTCTCATGAATGGGATTAGCATCTTGATAAAAAGGACCCCAGAGAGTTCCCTGCCCCTTCTGCCACATGGGGACACAGTGAGAAGACGGCCAGCTATGAACGAGGAAGCAGGCACTGAATCTGATCTTGGACTTCCCAGCCTCCAAAACTGTGAGAAATAAATGTTTGCTGTGTAAGCCACCCAAGCTATGGTATTCTGTTATTGCAGCCCAGAAGGACCAAGCATTTTCTATCTGGATTTTTGCAAGAGCTTTGCTCCCCTCAGATCTACACTTCACACAGGTCTTCACGGTCTGGCTGCTGCCCACCTTTCCAGCCCCATCTCTCACCCCTCCCAGCCTTGAATTTCTAGTCTAACCACACTGAAATGATAGGCATTCCTTTTACACCGTGCAGTTTCCTGCCCCCGTGTATTAGCTCACACTGTTCCTTCTGCCTGGAATAACTTCCCACACTCCTCTTCATCTGGCTGACTCTTAGAGGCTCACGTGAATTTCACCTCCACCCAAAAGTTATAGCTGGAGCTGCCTTTCCCATGCTGGGCTCATTATTCATTCCTCTGTGCTCTAGGTCCCCTGGTCAAATCTATTCCCTTGCATCTATCTCATTGCAGTATATATTTTTTAAAAAATATATTTTTTATTGATTGCAGAGAGAAAAGGGAGAGGGAAAGACAGAGAGAAACATAATGATGAGACAGAATCATTGATTGATGATCAAGCCCTCAACCTGGGCATATGCCCTGACTAGGAATCGAACTGTGACCTCCTGGTTCATAGGTTGACGCTCAGAAATGAATTGAATTGTTGAACACCCAGCTGGTAGTCAGAGAATTGCATGACTACCCGGCTGGCCCATTGCAGCATATTTTTGTTTCTGTGTCTGTCTCTGCAGGGCTGCATAGGGCAGGGATTGTGTCTTTCACATCTACAAAACACCCTGACACACAGATGGTGCTCAGCAGATATTTACTGAGCGAATGAATGGATATAGCACCGTCATTACCCTCTATGTTAGGTTTAGAGCCGTCGTTTAGAAGTGGTTATAAAATAGTCCATAAATCTGCTGTTTCTGTGGCTCAGAAGCCGTGCTTCCTCAGCCAGGGACGGGTAGCAAGCACAGTGCTGACTGGTAGCACTTGCTTAAGTGTGCGAGGTCGGCTAATGATGCAGGGAGCAACACCACCAGGGATATCTGCTTACAATAGCATCAGCTGGCTCTCCTGCGAGTCAGAGGCACTTTCTGCACCTTTCCCATCTGTGGCCTTTCCAGTATCCTAATTGATGGCCCTTCCTGTCCGTGAACTTTGTCCTCCAGCACCTTCATTCACCCCTGGACCATCACCCTTGCGTTTTTTGCAGTTGACTCGGCCATCCCTCAGGGCCACAACTATAAATTAAGCACTATTATGCGCATAAGCCATTGGAGGCCTACTTGCTGCTGTTCTTCAGTCGTGGGGTCCCTCCGGAGCCCACCAGGATGTGAGGCTGCCTCTTCCAGGTGTCTATCACTGTTGGGGCAGGTGTTTAGACCCTCCTCTTGCTAGATCCGGGGAAGGAAACCCAGGGAGGCACTAAGAGGTGTTTAGTCAGCCTTGCCCTCCTCCTCCTCTAATAACAATAAGCCTTTGCTTGTGGGCTTAAGGTTACAGGGTTAGCCTGTGGAGTCCTGAGAACCTGCTAAGTCCCTATTCAAGCTCAACTCTGAGCCTCAGTCTCCCCACCTGTCGGTGTGTGTTGGGTGGAGGGGGAGGCGTGGAGTAGGTAGATTACTCAGGGCCCTCCTTCCCAATTTTCAGGATGATGCCCGGGTGTGTAGGAGGGTAGCTCCGGCTCCGCCAGCCCGCGGGGACCGGCAGGGGTTCCCGGGAAGCTGGGCGATGTAGTTGCCACCTGGGGAGCCCCGCGGCTTAGCCCAACGGCGGGCGGGAAAGGACCCGCGGCGAGGCGGGAAAGCTTGTGGCCTCTGAGCCCAGACGTCTGGCAAGAAACCTGGCTCCCGGAGGGCAGGGGTCTGCCTTGTGGAGCCGGGCGGGGCTGGGGTGGGGGCGGCGGAGTCAGGAAATTCCCAGGAAATTCCTTTCCATTCCCGCATTCCCCGCCCCTTTCCTTGGGTGCCGACCTCTCCGAGCCTTGGGAAAGAGAAAATGAAATGTTATTCGGGTTTCATCGCGGCCCTTCTCCAGCCCTGGCCACTTGGGTTTGGAGCGCGCGTGGGAGCGCAGTTACACCGGCGCGTCCGAAGTGGGGCTTCACTGCGAGCGGGGAGTGTGTGCAACCCCCGGAGGCTCCTGGGGCTCCCGAGCGCTGCCGCTCGGTCCCAGAGCTCTAGGAGGCGTCCCCGGCTTAGGTCCCGTTCAGCTTAAGCTGGTATCACATGAGCCGCAGGGGAGTGGGAACCCAGGGTGTGGGCGGGGGCGTGCGCGCCGGGAAGGGGCCGCCCAGTCCACCTATGCTCGGTGGCCCCGCTGACGGATGCCAGGAATTCCCAATGAGAGG